TCTTCTATTTAAGGATTATGGAGGCCACTGTGCTCTTAGGAACCTTAAGTGCAGCAGAATTTTTTTTTGTAACCTTGGCCAGATCTGTGCCTTTCCACAATTCTGTCTCTGAGCTCTTCAGGCAGTTCCTTTGACCTCATGATTCTCATTTGCTCTGACATGCACTGTGAGCTGTAAGGTCTGATATAGACAGGTGTGTGGCTTTCCTAATCAAGTCCAATCAGTATAATCAAACACAGCTGGACTCAAATGAAGGTGTAGAACCATCTCAAGGATGATGAGAAGAAATGGACAGCACCTGAGTTAAATATATTAGTGTCAAAGCAAAGGGTCTGAATACTTAGGACCATGTGATATTTCAGTTTTTCTTTTTTAATAAATCTGCAAAAATGTCAACAATTCTGTGTTTTTCTGTCAATATGAGGTGCTGTGTGTACATTAATGAGGAAAAAAATTAACTTAAATGATTTTAGCAAATGGCTGCAATATAACAAAGAGTGAAAAATTTAAGGGGGTCTGAATACTTTCCGTACCCACTGTATAAATTTAGTGAATAATTTACTTCATCAGGACATTTATTCATTTGTTTGTTAAAATAATTACATTTATTTTTATTTATTTTTTAAATTTGACTTACTTGTTCCCTCATAAGTAATAGTGTTTTATTGCAAATAAATAAAATGTAAGCTAAAATTGTAGCAGTTCAATTTTTAAATTCAGGTTGAAAGTCTCTTCTCTAGACAATATCATAGCAAAGTGCAAGGACACTAAAATACAAGTTATAAATATCATCATAATAATCTGATCTCATAATTTCAGAGCTGCAGAAAATGCTTCATTCAACTTTCTTCCCACACTGTTTTACAGAGGAAGCTGACCAGGATATCACAGGTGCTGAAGATACAGCAAAACGAAAGAAACCTGTCAGCCAGAGAAAAACACCATTCCAGATCAGCATGCCACAGAACTTCCGCCCTGTTTCGTCTATCATTGACGTGGACATCATACCAGAATGCCACCGAAGGGTGCGTCTGTATCGCCAGGGCTCGGACAGACCTCTGGGGTTTTACATTCGCGATGGTACCACTGTCAGGGTTACTCCATACGGTCTGGAAAAGGTTCCGGGCATCTTTATCTCCCGCATAGTTCCTGGAGGACTGGCAGCTTGCACGGGACTGCTGGCCATTAATGACCAGGTCCTGGAAGTGAATGGTATTGATGTTATGCGGAAATCTTTGGATCAGGTAACCGACATGATGATCGCAAACAGCCACAACCTCATCATCACAGTGAAGCCCGCAAACCAGCATAACAACATAAGGCGAAAAAGCTGCAGTTCCTCAAGCTCGGGACACTATTTTGATAGTACGCACTCCGTAAGCTATCCAGGGCTACCTATGATAATGAAAGCTTATGGTTTAGGTAATGGCTCTGAGAGCGAAGAGGATGCAGATGTGGTTGTCGAGAGCCCCATCAGACACCTGTCCCAACATCCGGGTTCTTCATCCGCCTCTCACTCTTTTCAGCCTTATGTTAATATTTGCTACAGGCCCCAAGTTTCTGCCAGACTGCCCAACTTGCTCATTTCGGCTGCGTCCTATCACTCTCAGCCTTGTCTCGCTCATACAGCTCACACTGACCACAGTGTCCCTCTTCACAGGCATCGGACCTCCCAACAGCATTTTGGCTGTAATCCAGCCATCAGACAGGGAAGCTCCAGTACCCATGACATTCTAAACACGTGGCATGTAGATCTGAGTCGCCATTTACTGTTGCCCCAGGGGGCAATGGAGGAAGATGGAATTGTTGTTATTTTGTAAAAGATAAACCGAAAATACACCACCCATTTTAAATTGTGCAATTTAAATTGCAATTAAGTTAAATAAAATGAATGGGAAAATACAGTAATTTTACATTTAAATAAATGCACCTCTACTCATATACTTTGTGTATTACAAACATAACTGAAAACCCCAATAAATTTAGATGAATATACAGTGGGGAAAAAAGTATTTAGTCAGCCACCAATTGTGCAAGTTCTCCCACTTAAAAAGATGAGAGAGGCCTGTAATTTTCATCATAGGTATACCTCAACTATGACAGACAAAATGAGGAAAAAAAATCCAGAAAATCACATTGTAGGATTTTTAAAGAATTTATTTGCAAATTATGGTGGAAAATAAGTATTTGGTCAATAACAAAATTTCATCTCAATACTTTGTTATATACCCTTTGTTGGCAATGACAGAGGTCAAACGTTTTCTGTAAGTCTTCACAAGGTTTTCACACACTGTTGCTGGTATTTTGGCCCATTCCTCCATGCAGATCTCCTCTAGAGCAGTAATGTTTTGGGGCTGTCGCTGGGCAACACGGATTTTCAACTCCCTCCAAAGATTTTCTATGGGGATATAGTGTTTTTCAGAAAGGGACAAGCCCAGACTGGTTCTATGGCTGTTTTGCCACCGCCTGCAGAGGTATAAAGCTTGAAACGGTGGTGCCAGGCCTCCTGTGGACATGTGGTTTATAAGCAGAGGTGTTGCATGCATCCTCCCATGCACCATGTGTTCTTCCGATGCCGGGCTCAAGGTTTCACACTCTCAGCCTGACCCGACTGCACCACCCACTCACGGGAACTTGGTGCTTCCAGGTGGCTCTCTCAGTGCCTGACAAGTCTGGGATGTTGCACGCCAACTGCAGTCTACGTGAGACTCCAAAGGTCTACGTTTGCTGTTGAAGTCGGTAGCGTGTTGACCTACTGCTCTCAGAGCCGTAGTAGCTAATTGATTAAACGTGAGAGCCTGCTGGGACTGTGCTTGACTTGCACTTTTGCTCGAGTGCAGTAATATTTAGAGGTTTGAAAATTGTTGTGACGTTCCATCAATGACATGGAAAATGAGAGTGCACATTTTCTGCTTTCAGCAAAACCTGTGTTCCACAGGTTTAATGGTTTTGATGCAGTATGCAGCAGTTTTTTTTGTATTCTTAGTAGACTATAGTATATGTAGTTGAGCAGTAGGCATTTTAGTCTAGGGGTGACCCCGAATAGTCGACGATTCGATGCTTCGATGGGAGGAGCCTGATTCGACTACCAATCTCACTGTCGAATATTCGCTGAGGTGTTATGATCATGCCATTTTGGCTATATGGGGGTGCTCAATGTCTAATTTCTCATAGAACTACCTGTTTTCGCCCAATAAGTAAATATACAGCCTATTATGATAAGAACTTGCACAATTGGTGGCTGACTAAATACTTTTTTGCCCCACTGTATGTGTCATGTGTCAATAAGGGGTCATATGATGCTATTTTAAAGATCATTATTTTGTGTATTTGGTGTAATAGAATATGTTGACATGCTTTAATGTTCAAAAAACACATTATTTTTCCAATACTGTACATTATTGTAGGTCCTCTATGCCCCGCCTCTCTCAAACACGTCGTTTTCAACAAAGCCCCCTCCTTTGACAAGCGCAGTCTGCTCTGATTGGCCAGCTGACCCAGTGCATTGTGATTGGCCAAACACCACAAGCACGCGTCGGAAATGTAACGCCCCTTACCATAATCGCTTCAGCTTTCAAAGTAAATATCAAGACAGTTAATAATGTAGTTAGTTTTACCATCAGTTCAAGCCCGAAACGGTGACAGACACAGTGATGATGAAGTACACAAGCCATGGTTAAGACAGCTGACGTGCTATGATTTCTGACAGGCAGTTCACTCTCCTGTGATGTGACCCTGTTCCCCTCACACACACACACACACGATGCGGTACTCTGCACTGCGCAAAACTCCGCATTTGAACAGTCAATAGCAATACTTAAACTGATAACAAAACATACTTACAGGTGCTGATTCAGAAGCGCCAGATTGTCATAGCAAAGTCGGAATTTACTCCTCTCCTAGGTTCACGAAACGGTCGTCCATAAAATGCATTGCTGTTCTGTTGTAAATAATCTTAAAGATTCTTAAATGCATCTACTTCCGGAAGGCCAAATAAAGTGCTTTTGCACTTGCACTGAAATACACAGCGTCTCCCTGACATGGCTGCATCAACACTACTGCTGTTCCTGAAACCACGCCTTCTTTCTTTGCGTGAACATTTGGGCGCATTATGCTAATATTTCCACATAGTGACGTAGACATGTGGGGGCGTGTTAGAATGAGCCGTTTTATGTAGGCGTGGTTGACTCTTAACTTTTATAAAGAATATCTCTTTGGATTTGAGACTTTAGTCTTTGCAACTTTACAGATCTTCTTTATGCACCAAGAGCTTGTAACACTCCAAAGAGAAAGGAAAACTTGAAATCACATCATATGACCCCTTTAAAGTAAACATCTATTTTGACCAATTAAAGTTGACTGCACAAAAATTAAAGTCTGTTCAAGAATTGTGTTGTATTAGCTCATTTTAATAAAGGAAACTGAACAAGCAGCAAAACCATTTTTGGCGGTGGAAGTCTGAGTGCATTTCAACATTGCATTACAGCATGATTTTACTTGCAATTTGTGTATAATTGCATTCTTATTCAAACATAAAATTAGTATAATGAAGTATTTTTTAATAGAGATGCTTGTTGAAATGTATTGGATTTATTTGCTCTTTGTTCTTAACGCTGAGAAAACAACACAAAATGTACTTAAAAATTGAATTCCATTTGCACTAACAAAATAATAATTCAACAAATCAAACCATACATTTTAAAAATAATACAATAACTCATTATCCAATTTTAGTTCATAGCATTAAATAAACAAACATGCTTACAATAAATTCAACTAACTTCTTTACAGTGTTTTGTATTCAACATTGGATTTTTACAGTATATACTGTATCATTATTACTATAACAGGGCACTGGTACTCACACAGACCGCAGGAAGAGCTCCCCCTGCTGGCCTCATCAACACTTCGTCCAGGAGCAGCCTGAGCTTTCCCAGGAGGACTTGACAGCTACAGGTTGATGGCTGCTTGCTGTTACAGACGGGCCCCACAAGCATCCCATACACTCTGTCCATGTTGTCCATGAAAAATAAAATCAATATAAGTTGTGGAAAAAGCTGCATCTTCCATACCGACACAATCATGTTGCGCACAAAGGGCCATCCTGTTTTGTGTTTATCCGTTTGGCTGTTCTTCTCACTAGTTTTATATACACAGAACAACACTTGTCAAATAAAGCTAACAAGACTCTATTAAACTAAAGGAATAGTTCAACCATAAATAAAAATTCAATATTTACTCACCTTCATGTTGTTCCAAACCTGACTGATTTTATTTCTTCTGTAGAAGAAGATATTTTGAGGAAACAGTTTTGGTTACCATTGACTTCCATTGAATGGACAAAGAAAAACACTGAGACATTTCTTAAGATATCTTCTGTTTATGTTCCACAGAATAAAGAAATTCACACAAGTTTGAAATGACAAAAGGGTTTAATCATTATAGAATTGTCATCTTTGGGTGAACTATCTCTTTTAGTTCAAGTGATGCATTTTATTAAGTAACATGGACAAGAAATGATTCTGTAAAACTTTGAGTGTTGGTTTGAGTGTAATGAAGTTTGCAGTGTTCTGTGTTTTTACATTTATTCTTAAACCGTAAGGGAATGTCACAGGCACTGTGACAATAGGGGGCCCATTTAGGTCCTTGTATGCACAGAGACCAATGGATAGACCTCCCACCCATAAAATATCACTCTGTGTCCTTTAGTGACAGTCCTAATGCAGATGTGTTCTATAGGTGCATACATAGGCCTAAATGTTCTTCACTGCACTTGTGAATACTCAATCGTTTTAAATTGAACTGACCTGCTGTGGCAACATCAGCACTGATGCAAGAGACCAGCTAAACAGCAGCAGGTATCCTCTGCATATTATACAACAAGCAACACTCCTATTGCCTTCTCATCATCATGTCACCTCTGAAGGTGTTGTTGTGACACAGGTGTGTCTACATCACTCACAGGTGAAGATCCCAGCCATGGGTTTATGGTTAATTACAATAACCAATGACCATCACTTTGATCAACTCTGCAAGATCAGCCCACCTTTCTCCCATTGGTGGATCTGCACTATGCAATATGTAAATCAGAAAACGTCACTTCCCTTCTTCCTGTACGCCATGTTTTTCAGCAGGAGTGGGGTGATGTTTTAGTGAGATATAATCAAAAGTGGGCAATCCTGCGCTCTGTTCAGATTTCAACAGACGATCACCAGTGCAACAAGGAACGCGGATTGAGCGCAACCCGGATGCTTCACGCGATGAAGTAGCCGATTCCATACTGCGCGCCTTCCCGTGACGCCGGAAGAAAACGGACGTACGCACGCAGACATCCATCCACTCATTCGCAGCTCTGTGCCAGAGGACTGGAGGTAGACACAGGTTTAGTCATTTAGTCATACAGTTCGGATTATAAATGACATACGTAGTTTCTTTCTTTCTTGCGTGAATACTACTTAAAATCCATGGCTGGTTAAAAAATTATAATGATGTGTCCGACGATGGTTTGAAATACAGACCTTGCTAGGTACATAGTTACAACTAGCTATATGTATTATAACTATGTTATAGGCCTCAATAATATGTTAATTTAGAGCTCTCTTAAATGTCCATTAGATTCTCGCCAAATACAGACTGAGTTTGGTGTTTGAAAGCGCAACGCATTGATTTGACAGGCTGTTCAACGTTTCGTATTATTATTATTTTTTTTTTAAAGGATCAGCAAAATGTATCAAATTCCAGTGAAGAACCTGACAAAACTCAGACGTCCAAGGAAACGAGTCAAAGGTATTTTGTGTGACATCGGGATGCAGCAGTGTCAAGATTTATTGGAGGTAGGTTATTATGTTCTGTTTCTGT